TTTCCTGCTCAGGGGCTGGTTTAAGTTGCTGCATCCAGTCATTAATGATTTGTTCCTTAGGGTTGCTTTATAACTCAAGTGAATAATTCCTGTTCTTTCCAAACTGGTGACATCGGGGATGGGGGTCGGGGGGGAAATAAAGCAGGGAGAGGGCGAGAGCCAGAGAATACCAGTTTTGCTACATTGTGATTTGAAAAGTTGCACAGCAAAGTAGAAATCAGCTACGTTACTAACGAATATATAAAAGCAGTCAACTATTTTAGAAGGTTGGAGACAGCATATATATATATACACACACATATATATATATGTGTGTGTATATATATATAAAGTTCCTGAACCTCTTTCTGTTACAGATCAAAAATTTACCATCTCATGTAGGTTTGGGGATATATCAGCCTTTATAATTTTCCTTGCTGTAACTGAAAATATTGCTAAACTTTTAATGTCATTTCAATATGTGAATTACTGCTAAAAATTTACTCCAGTGATATTAAGATCACTATTGCTAAAAAGATCTCAATGTTAGAATTTTCTAACTCGACAAGCTAACAAGTGTAACTGTACAAGATTCAAAATGCCTTTAAACATCTGATAGGAGAAAAAAAATAAAACCAATATGATACTTTTTTATTTATAGAAAATTCAATACAGAATTTCCATAATTCGGATCATTTCTCCTATTCTTGACATTGAGAGTCAAGTTTACTTTAAGCAAAGGTGACCTCCTATATCTGCCGCACATTTGTAGGAAGAGACAGAAGACACTACTTTTTGGGTAGCAGGTTTTATAATTTGACTTTTCCTTCTTGGAGACTATTATTATTTGGCCTGTAATTGAGCAACCTGTTACAAAACCAGTATTTGGGGAGGTGGAGTAGCAGGGAAGGGTTATTTTGTCTTTACTTTGGAAGAAATATTTTCTACTTCAGGGAAGGGTGTGAGGAAGTAGGAAGGTGAACATTATACTGCAAGTGTTCCTTAAGAGCACTAAATACACTTGATATACTAGACTGGAGCTTAAACAAGAAGATAAGGATAGGTCTTTGTTTTCCCGCTCCTCTTACTAATACATTATTTAAGAAAAGGGAAAAAAGTCCCATATGTAATATCATTAATGTAGTCCATATGTGTTAAAGAATATAACTTTTTAATGAGAACTGCTGGGTGTTTTAAAATCTCTTATGTGGGATCACATCACTGTTTTTATATCATGATATTGCTACAGGAGAGACATTTTCCTATATATCAGTAGTCTTTTATCTGTTTTCCCAAACTATAATGTAACATCTGGTACATAATCCTCTGTCACCAATTGAGTATGCCTTCTTGCTCTTTACTTTTTCTTAATTTGTGGAAGTGATGAGTCATTTTTACAGATAAGATGTTTTGCTGGGTTCTGATGAATGTCTAGTGAGTGACTGTTCTTTTATAGGTGAAGTGGATGATGTACTGGATTGTCTTTGCCTTTTTCACCACAGCAGAAACGCTTACAGACATTGTTCTTTCTTGGTGAGTATCTTGGTTGGCTTATCTTTTTATATAGCATAGATACTAAGTAGTATAGATACTAAGAGTAAACTCTGTCTCTTCTCTAGGCCTTTTCAACCCACATTAAGAGTTTGAAGGTTTCTAGGCATTGTGGATAGCAGTTGTTCTCTTAGCTGTTTTGTCTCCTGTAGCTACAAACAGCTAAGATGGGACCATAAAGGAGTCTTCATCCATTTGTTGCACAAAATGCTTTTGAGAAACCGTAAGATGGACTAGTAGAATTTGGGAAATAATGATCTAAAAGATCATTATAAAGACACATTAAAAAAATAGTGGGAGGAGATTTGTTTTCCATTGCAAGGCTGTTGTGTAGAGGAGCAGATTAGATGCATGTCTCTGTTCTGAGTAGTGTTTTATATGATAAGAGTTTCTCCTGGTGTCAGACGTGGGAGACAGAGAGCAGCTTCTTAAGCTTTTCAGTGCTATTTATTGTGCTTGACAGTATCTGTATGGAGACCTCCAAAACTGACAAGTCATTGTTTCACATCTCTTACTGGACTGATCTTTGGAACAGGAAGTCTTCTGTTTCTTCATTGCATTAGTGTTTTTGCTTTGCACGTATCTCTGAAACAATCCACCCTAGTTTGAGTTGGTTCTTTTAAAGAAACCTGATTTGGCTACGACTGTCTTACAGAAGTGCTCAGCAGTTTTGCATCTTCCTGCATGAACTTTGAAAAGTAAATGAAGATCTAAAACATGCAAGAGCTTTGGCTTGTTTATGTAGTAAAAATGGGTCACAAAATACAGAAGTGTCTGTCTTACTACCAATATATGCAGTAGAAAGTTTGCATTCAAATACTTGAATCTCTGCTGTCTTTCCCAGAGGCTTTACTGAATGAAGGGTGAAGGTGAAGGACTTATGTCTTTTTCATTTATGCTGATCCTCATTTTTTGTCTCATCTGAGAAATACCTGCTGGAAGTTTTAGAAACTGAGCCATCAGCCTTAGCAAGAACTTAAAGTTCTTGAAAGCCTAGTTGTAAGACTTGGAAAATAAGAGGGAAACTACTGTAATATTAACTTCCAGTGAAGGTCTCTAAGCAAATTTCACAGTGGTGAGAATGGCTATCAGATTGTAACTTGGTGTGTTTGCAGGGCTGAGGGATGCCCTGTTTATGAAGTATTCATGGCTATGGATGAAAGACTAAATGACACTTGAAGAAGGTATGTCCTAAGGTTTCAAAGAGGGGTTTGCTCTTCTGACATGACATACTGATTCTTTTTTTTTTTCCTGAGTCATTACTCTCTACTTTGTTCTTTCTGCTTATGCTGCTCTCTTCCAGTTGTCTCCCTCTGCCTCTGTACTGATCTTGACTCCAGTTCTCCATCTTTCTCTCTCTTGTTTTTTCTTCCCTTTCTTTCTCTCAGGTTTCCCTTTTATTTCGAGTTGAAAATCGCATTTGTGATTTGGCTGCTGTCCCCTTACACCAAGGGCTCCAGTGTCCTCTACAGGAAGTTTGTGCACCCAACGCTCTCCAATAAGGAGAAGGTATTTGCTTGTTGTCAGGAGATATTGACCTGTCTGGAAGTTGACTGACTTCTGATTCAGTTATGCCACAATAAAAATTGAAATGCATGAGTCACTGTTGTGCTGACATTAGTGGATGTAGAATGATTTCGTCTCTGACATAAAGATGTCATACTGCAGCTTACTGAAGATGACGATATAGTCAATTGTTTCCCTAATGCTTAGAAAGCATGTTTAATTAATGTAATGAGATGAGCCCATGTAGTCACTTTCAGTTAAGCTCACTGAATCATGACAGAAGCAGCATGTTCTGTAGCCAGGCTGTTCTTTCATGTTCTCAGTGTAAGCAAGTACATTGTTTGAGTTGTTATAAATTCAAGCAGCTTTCTGTAAATCACCACTGCATTTGCAGGCTTTCTGTAAATAGCAAGACAGACACTTGATCAATGGCAGTTAATGCTGGTAGCCTTGGTAAAGGGATTCTGATAAGCTCTGTGTTTTTAAAGGTGATGATGGGGGACACTTTGCTCATATTTGTAACCAGGGCCTAAATGGTTTGTTCCCCATTGCTTTCCTAGGAAATTGATGAGTATATCACTCAGGCTCGTGACAAGAGCTATGAAACCATGATGCGAGTTGGCAAGAGAGGGTTAAACCTGGCTGCCAATGCAGCAGTTACTGCAGCTGCAAAGGTAATCCCACATCTGTGTATTACAAACAAAATGTAAGCTTCTGTGACATTTCATGCATCCACCAGCAGTTTAGTTTTGTGTCAGTCAGTTAGTGCTGTGGGTCTCTTACTGATGTTGATAGTTTTTCAGACCAGTCAACTTTTCCTTTCCTCCAGTTTTTCTTGCAATTAGTCTTATGCTGACTTGCAGGAAGGGGAGGTAGGGGAGGATGGAGTTTGCTGTACTTTGCTTTTTCTTTTTGGTCATGGAACATACCTCTCTTTTTTTGTTTCTTTCTCTGTTCTTTTCCAAGTGCGTTCTTTTCCTAGTGTGGAATGAGGCACTTTTCTACTTCTGAGATGATCTTGGAGAAGACAAAGTGTCCTTGACACTAATTTTCATATCCTTTTAGGGTCAGGGAGTTTTGTCTGAGAAGCTGCGAAGTTTCAGCATGCAGGATCTTACTCTGATCCGCGATGAGGATACTGTGCATTTGCGAAGCCACAAGCCACAGTTGCACCCCTCTACTGGGAGCCTCCTTGAAACCATTGAGGATTCAGGTACAGAACAAAACTGCTGTTCCAGTCTGTGAGGTCTTGTATGGTGAGCTGGGATGGGATCCCTGTGCTTCATGCTTTGAGTCCCACAAGGACTACAGGACTGCAGATTACCTAGAGGAAGCTGTGTTATCCTCCCTAATCCCTTCCCATCTTCTAACACATCTCTTTGCTGTGTGGGTTATTTTTCATAAGGATTGTTGACATCTCTCCTCCATATGATCCTTAATGACTTCCACTTGAGATTTCGTATACTTTTCTTTCTTTCCCCAAAAGTCTTAAATAAAACTTTTTATTATTTTTCCTTAGCTTCCTGTTACTCCTCAGGAGAGGAGAGCAGTGTGGCACACAGATCTAATGGAAACCCATCTGAGGCTAGAACAGACCCATCAGATGAAGATGCAGGAGACAAACTGCCAAAACGTACCCAGAGCCTCAAAGCTTCAAAGAAGATGTCAAAAACTGAGGTGAGCTACTGTGCAAGTTACTTCAGTACAGGCACTGATTTGTGAGCTTTGTTGGGAGGCGCTCTCCTTGCAGTCTCACTGAGTTTAAAAGCTGTTTATATATCGACTTTGCTGGAGTAAGCTTTGCTCGAAGAGTCCTACAGGAGAACACTCGCTGTCTTAAGGTGCACCTATTATGCAGATGTCCAGCTTCTCTATTCTTACGATGCCTAGAAACCTCTGTCATAACACAGGACCTGAATTTTTCTTTCATTCATATGTTATGTTTAAGGGCAGGACATTAGGTTTTTGTTGTTCTTAGTATGTTTTGTTGGCTGTACTCCCTCTTCTGTCTGTTGCAGATGCTCTGAATACATAGTACTGCTGTGACCTTTATTCCTGGGTCATCATTTAAAATACAGATGTTGTATACCCTCTTAGGCCTTCCTGAACTTCTGCATGTTTGATTTGGCAAAAGTATAATTTGGGCCCCATTTAGGTTTTGTCCTGTTAAAGTAACTAGTCATTGTTGAGCTCTCTTCCTGTGGCCATGTGATGCTCCCAGGTATTTGCAGCCTTATCGGATGGGTGTGAGGTTCCTATATTCATGTCGTTGAAACACACCAAACATAAAAGTGAATGCAGTTGTGTTTTGTAGTAGTTTAATCATCTTTCCATTCAGAAGCTAGTGTGTTTTGTGGAATATGCCCTTCAAGCTGTTGCTTCCCATGTTTTGGTCTCACTTGATTTTTTGTTTTTTATGGTTTGATTTGTGCATGATAAAGTACATCTCCTTTTTAAGTTGGAGTCATCTTATATTGTTTGCTTGGCTTAAATCAGGCTCGTATTTTTTTATTATTTATTTTTATGATGAAGAGTGATGTATGACTAGATCATGTGGTAGAGCTTTTCAAGCTAAGTGTAATAATTGAGTAATCTGGCTAAAAATAATCAGCAAAATGTGTTAGGTTGTACTTTAGACCTTGAGTTTACAGTGTACAAGACCAGTTATATGTAATTAGGCACTGTAAAGTATATGACATATATGTCTGCACCTTTTCTTTGTTCTGTTAAAAATTAAGGTGTTAAAGTAAACTAACAAGACGGCTTTTTTTTTTCCTCAGCTTCCAGTAAGAAGTGTGAAAGCTCGCCCCAAGAAGAAAGCTGCAGGCTCTGTTGCTTCTGTTGAGTCATCCTAAGGAGACCTCCCCCTCCCCAGCATCTGTCTCTGTCCCAGGATTTGCCTGTCACCTTCGAGAGGAAGCTTCAAAGGAAGGGAGCTGAGATTCATGTACATAACAGCTACTGCTTTGTAGAGCCCTTTCCAAGGCAAGGGGGAGGCTGAGATTTAGAATATGAATTAGAGGATGCATATCCTCCGGAATTTTCTCCTTTTCATCTTTCTGTTGGAGGGGATGCCAGTATGTCTGTACATAGTCTGTTGCTTTGGGATTCCCTCTGTATAAGCCTTGTTGGGGAGAATCTTTGCTGGAAGAACTGACTAGGGTTAGAGACATCCTTTGCAGAAAAGATATTAGACATTGGAGTTCCACAGGGGTGGGTGGCTCCCCAGAATGTCATGTCTTGCTCTGGGTAACCTTCTGCAGCTGTGTGTTCCTAAGAAGTGCCCAGTATAATAACTGTCCTTTAGAATGACCAGTACCTGCCATGTCCAGTCCCTTTCACAAGGGGACTGAAGCGATGTGTGCTGAGTACTTCTGAACATAAAAAGGACTGTCTCCTTGGAGGAATGCTGCAGATTCCAGTTCTTGGTACTGGAAAATAAGAGAGTTTGATTTTTGTTTTATTTTATTTTTTCAGAAGGTCACGTGAGGGAATTGAAAACTGAGTTATGAAGAAAAAGTTCTAGTATACGCACGTGTGATGGAGCAGATACAGGTATTCGTAAGAGTTAACTCGAGAAGGAAAGTGGGGTATCTGGAAAGTTTTTGTCTGGTTCCTTGAAGCTGCTTGAATTTTGTTTCAAGTTCTGTTGTTCACTTTGATACCTGTAAGAACATCAATGAGAGAAGGAAAAATGGGCAGAAGGAATGTGGGAAGGGAATGATTGAACTCTGTATCATCCTGGTTGTTGTTCCCACAAATTCTTTCATTATCATGATGAGCATAGTTTAATACGGCCTGCAGACATACCTGGGAAATTTCAAGATGCCCTTGTCTCTTGACTTTAGGAAAGCCAGTACTCAAAGCATAAAAAGTGGAAAAAAAAAAACAGTTTAAGTATGAATTTCACTAATCCTGGAATTTCATTTATGGGGAGAGAGGAGGAAAAAAAAAAAGAGCGGGGCACAGTTTTGAGATTAATCAGCTCTCTTGCTTCATCCTGCTTCTGCCCATGGACCTTTTTTTTTTTTTTTTTTTTTTTTTTTTTTTTTTTTTTTCCTTTTCCCATGCCAACCTC